ACAATATATTGACAGATAACGCCTGGGCATTATTAATTATCAATAAATTTTGACACATTTAATTAATTTATATTTTCAAAACGCTCGAATTCGTAGTGTTTAGGAAAGTATCCATGTGGATTCTTTGTTAACATATAAACTACTTGTATAATTTATACAGCTAAATTTTCGTTGTAAGAATATGGATTTATAATTTTGTATCGATGCATGTTCTACTCTTTTAAAAAATAAAAATATTTGCTAAATTATACGAGAGAGAATAAAACAACTATTTTAATGCGGAACGTCGTAGTCACGCAAGCGATAAAAAAAATTTTTTTTAATTGTTTGGACGTATTGATGATTTGCATAAGCAATTTTAAAACTTTTATTGTTAAAAAATTTATAATCGAAATTACTTTTTATATATTTAATTGGTTTTGTTATAAAAACTTCATCTAGTTTAAGTAGTTTTTAAAACTTTTTCGTCCTGTGGGTACTAAGGCGGCCATTTTTTAACAAGTCATTATGGGTTCGGTCGGGCCCGCAGTAGGAAAGTCGAGTGGTAAAGAATGGGCCCGACATATCCCTGAGATTTTTCGACTCGTACGGATTCGATCCCAGATTTCCCAGAGGGGTAGATTGCTATCTTGACCATCCGGCGATCGTTACCGATCCTTTGTATACCATACATCTTTGATGTTTTTACTTGTAATATGCATAATATTTGCCAAAGTTTACAGGTGGCCATTTTGTTGTGATTTACTCGTTTATATTTGAAGTTTTAATATCTAGAAATTAAAACTTCTACGTGAATTTGTGACTGGGAAATTTTTACTTCGACTATCTGCCAGTTCGGCACGGAATTGAATTCGACACGTGCTGTACACTTTTTAAAAATTGTTTTAATCCCGTGCAATGGAATATAATACTATTATTCTTATTTTTCAATGTTATATATATATAGGTATACAAGTGTATTTTTGTAACGGCTGCAAGGGTGTTGCACGTCATTTACGGCACGCAAAGATGGTTTATACTAATGGTTACGAATGGAGATATAATGATAATATACAGTAAATTGTGAAGATCTGTGAATCAAAATTCGTGTTTTGTAGATCAATCTAAGAAACCAGATATAGTATCCGATATTTCCAAGGATTGTCTTAGGCATTGTTTAATTAGCACTGGGTTCTTGAAATGCCAAGGACAGATAATTAATCGATCTACTTTAACACGAGAGGAATGAATATGGTGTTCGCTTGCACAACGATAAAACTACAGTAATAAGTAATTATTAATTTTATCGCTACGAGATAACGGCAGCATACTGAATACGTGACTCCTGCATGTAATCAGCGTGCTGCTGCTACTTCTACTTCACATTGTCCTTGACAATGTGTAGTAGTAGCTGAGTCCACAATCATCTAGACTATAACTGTGGCATTCTTGAAGTTAATAATAATTCACTAAAAGTGAATTCGAAGAAAAGTGAATTATATATGTATTTATATACATATGTAATTTACAGATGGAGAAATAATTTAATAAGTTGATTATCTCTATATTGTACATAATCGTATAACATAAAATTTGCTATTTTATCTTAAGAAGTGATAGGAAGGAACGATGATTAAATTGTTGTAGTATGGCAATGATCCAACATTATTAGGGGCCACAGGAGGCTGTTTAATTCCGAAAACTATTCACGTTGGAGTAAATCTGATTATATATTCTGAAAGCTCGTGTTTTTAAAACGTATTTTGTGTGTACTATGTCCAAATATTACTCTTACGATTTGGAAGAGGCCAGCTGTTTTGTTATAAACAATAAAATACATTAGCCTAAGTATTGTAACAAAATACAGTTATATCGTGTGAAAGTTAATAAAATGTACTTTATTTTACATACGATGCAATTTGCGTTAACAACCAAAACCTTTAATGTTATTGAGCGGTAAGGTCGGAGCTACACGCTCTGGCTAAAAAAAAAAAAATGTAACATATTTTCGTAATGTAAATTTGCTGAATGACACTCGAACATAGACGTTATTTATGTCAAAATAACATTGAAAGAATTCGAATATTTCGCAGCACTAGTATTAGAACTTGATTTTTTGCCCTGCAAGCCCTAAGAGAACCTTTTATTTATCATATTTTATCAGTCTCACAATAGAAAGGCAGAATGAGAGATTCAGGTTCCAACATATCTGGGTCAACCCGTCCAAAGAAATTCCTGTGCCGATCTGGACTCGAATTTGGGTTCTTCGGAGCAGCATTCTGCCAATGGGATATTGGCATTGGAGCATTATAGACAGTAAACTCGTTAAAGGCCAACAAATTTGTGTTCCTTCACTTACATATCATTGACTAAATGCAGAAAATAAGTTGTAATCAATGAAAAAAACAAACATTTTCACCTGTTTTTAATTCATTTCATTTGCATATTGCAAGGATAATAAATCTCTTCACTGCAGTACACAGAAGTTATGCAGTAAAGTGTATTTCTCTATTTCTATTACATTTTGTTCCTTTTTAATTGTTTTCTTCAGGAAGATACAAAAGAACAATCTTTTAGGAAGTGCTGTTCCTAATAAATATAGAATAGAGTATCTTTCTAAACATTTACAAAATGAGAAAATAAAAATGTAGCTCAAGAATTGGCAATTTATTTTAAATCAAAAACAATTCTACATTTCCCACATAATTTACCATTTGATTCATTAAATGTTTATTTGTAATTAAATTTAAATATATTGGATGTCTCGGCCAAACCGAAATCTTGACTTCCGATCGGTTTGGGGCACCAACCTATTAATATAGGTGAGCTGTTTATTCACCATCCACACTTAATGATAATGAAGGTATAGCTCACCATTATATATGATAATTTAATATATTGATTAATTTATAATTAAAACAAACAGAAATCTTTAAGAAACAAGTCTTTAAAAACACTTACTTAAAATATTTTTCTATTTTTTATACTGCAATTATTTTAGGAGGAAATAATAAATTCAAACTCATTTGGCCACCGTCGTCTTGTTGACTACATACAGTGAAAACCCTGTTTATAGGGCCAAAAGATGCAATTATCTGGATAAACCAAATAGTGTGATATTTTAATTAAAGTCTAAAATTTCAAACTGAAAATGCTGCTTATTAAATAAATATTTATATTTTATAGCTTTCATTCACTTAAAACATCATTTAAATGATACATTTAATAATAATAATTATAACTTTAAACATTGTTGAATCTTGATTCAACAATGTTTACATGTTTTTCAAGTCTAACCATCTGTAAGCAAATTTAATGTTATCCGTAGGACAATGAAATTTCCAGATTATTAATTAAAAAGTTACATAAACTATAAATTACTGGTCTTAAAATAATTGTAAAACTTTCTTTAAAAATAAATTGTATATAATAATATAGTATGTATAATTTTTTATTACACAGAAAAAAGTAGTTATAAAATAATGTAGCAGAATCAGCAATGCTTTAACTCATTACATTGTGTTAATAAGTATCATATGTTGATAATTTTATTAAACTTTTATAGTAATATTAGTCACATAAATCAAAAATAATTACTAGTCTCTTATTAAGTTTTTAACAATAAAAACAATTGTTACCGTTAGATATTTATGTATTTAAATCTTTCATTTATGAATACCGTACTTACTAATTATAATAACTTGGAAAATTGTCTGGCTTTATTTAAAGTAACCGGGTTTGTAAAATTGTTAATTTATATAATTATAACAACTTTAATGCTTATATAGTAGGTTAATTTCAACTATTTTGTATAGTACAAAAACAACATTTAAAATTATTATGTATATTTACATTACACACAATACTAGTCTCTAAAGTTATTAAAAATTTCATTAAAAAAATAACTTAAAAAATTTTTATTTTAGTGTAGTATAAGTGTATGTATACATATATATATATACACACACAAACATAATATTGTATTTTTTGTATGTACAGGAGTTATATCAGTTTATTCAGAAATGTTCTCATCAAATCATGAAAGCATAGTTTCTGTATTGTCATTTTTTACAAATTAAATCATGAAACATTTGAAATTACAAATTAAATGACAAAAGTTAGTTATACAAAACTTTAAAAATATCAATTAAATGTATCTTGAAATGGTTCTATTGGATCATAAATTATGGAAACACAGTCGGCACCAAAGCAAGTTTTTGTATAAATTTAAAAATAGTTTACTGTAAGCAACCAAATAGATTAACTCTGCCAATAAAGTAAGTAACACAACAATAACCCAAGCATACATCGATCAAATTGTCACGCAATTTTCTCTAATTCATTTATTATTCCTTTAATTTCAATTAACTGATAAAATTAAAAGCATTTTCTAATTAGTTAATAATAAAAAAAGTATAAATTGGATTGTAATCTTTTAAAAATTTAATAAATAATTAATAAAGGTATGGATAAAATTATTTTCATTTAATATTTTCCACTAATGTAATATGTTTATATCATCTCTACAGAAAATTAATATAAGCAAATATATATTTATATGTAAAATACAATTAATGTTAATAAAGTCAATATCTATTTATATAATTCAAAGAACACAAAATTAACAGTAAACCGAATAAATAAACCTTCATTTTTACGAGTGATGTTTGATTACCCAATTTATCCAAAAATATATTTGGTTACTTAAATTTTTTCTTTAACTTCTATCGCACAAACTAAAATCGTTCTTTCACAATCTAAATGAACGTAAATTCTTTTATAATCTATGATTTAAGATCTTTCTTTCATATCTATAATGGAAGTGGCTTGTTGATGAGGAACAGAACATGACAAACAGATCAAACTACCTATAAATTTCTGCTTGGACTCATAGCTGGATCTCCAGAGTAACAAACTGATATCTTTACTTTGCAATTAATCCGTAAAAAAATGAATAAAATTACACTAAAAATTCAGAACTAAATAAAATTTTCATATACGGTATCTAAGTTATGATTTGCTAAAGTAAGTTCAACATTTACAAGATTAAAACGAGAGATTTCGAAAATGTAAACAAAGGAACACAAAGATTTAACCAATATAAAACTAAATTTAATCAATATGTTTATTACATTTGATTCTTTACAAAGAGTAGGAAAACCAATTTTCCACTTGAAAATCATCGGATAAAAATTATTACAATTTTGTACCTAATTAATACATGATGAAAACGACATTCAATTAAAATACATAGAAACACCGAATGAGACAATTACATCTTTAACATGAAACTATGTACAATACATGTAAAATAAATTAGAAAAGTTTTTCTAAGTTATTGAAGTGACAGACGTTTTAAAGATATTGGCAGGAATTTTAAAAAATAATCCTTGATTGTTAATCCAAATAATTCTTTGATGGCATCAGATATTTCAATTGTTCATTTTTTAGAGGTTTAAGTCCAAACCGTTGCTTCTGTCTCTCCAGAGACAATACTTTATGGAAATGAATTGTTAAAATACATATTGCTGATCATTAAGGAATTATTTGCATTAAATGTTGGCATCATTTTCAAATATCTGTAGTTTGCATTCATTGCATTAGTATTGGATTATTTCTTCTTTGATTAAAGTTCAACAACTAATGATTATATTTTTTCCATTTTTATTATATCTTTAAGACAGTTGACTAGATTTGAAAATTAAATATCTAAAAACAGTAATTTTTTTTGCCTTTTTAATCAATCACTTCATACAAAAATATACATAATGAGAATTTGTGATGGTTATGCACCCAAACATCAATTGGTTATATCAATACTAACGATAAAATGTCGTTTACAACAATCTTACTAATTAAAATAGTTTATTTCTCAATCTCGGATAATATTTTATGCAATTGCCGTGTGAGAAAACTTTGGTTGGCTCTCATAACGAACGTGAAAAATGGATCCTCACACAAATATTCAATAGGAATAACTTCTATAACAGTATTCCTACTGCTGGACTCCATCAAAGAATTAATGTTTTCAAAATGTTTTAAAATTTGATTTTTATTTTCCATATAATGTGCCGAAAACAGCCACAGTTGACTTGTTGAAGAATCGGCATCGATACTTGGAGACAAAACAAACATTTCTGAAAATAAATGGCTCAATAGATATATAACGCCGACGGTAAATCTCGTGAGACATCCTTGTAAATATAAAGCGAAACAATCATTAGCATTTAAAACATTAATTATTTTTATGCAGTATTCAATTAAATGTTTTTTGGAATCAATTTCTTTCCTGAAAATATGGGAATGTATACAACAAAATGGATCAAAATGAATTAATTTTGGATCTTTTATACTTTCAACATTTTCATTAAAATTTCTAACGTTTATGGAAAGTGGTAATATATTTTTAAATTCTTCTAACAATGATGTATGTATCTTACAAATATTAAAAACAACACAAATTTTTGATAGCATATTTACCCATTTGACATCATTTTGTACATTATGCCAATTATAACTGTTTCTACAAAAGTTCCATTTCTGTAACTGCGAACTTGCACCAAATTCCATCCACAAAGAAAGCAGATTAGGATAACAAAATCTAGAATTTGTTATACATTTGTAGGGAAATCCTCCCTTAATCCACATTGCATTTGGTTCTATTGAGTATTGTTCGAATTTGACAGTTTTGAATTCATTATCTGAAAACGAAAACCATTCCGACAATTGCTTTTTGATTCGTTTTAGTCTGCACTTCTGTTCTTCGTTCTGTTGGTTGTGTCTAGAATTAAAGCTGCCACTTCTCTGTGTTTGCTGAATTATATCATCGGGAAACAATTTAGTATTACTAATTTGATGTTGGTGATTTTTAAATTCTTTGGTATTTATGATTTTTTCAGATTTCTTAATTCGTTTAAGTTTGTATTTTGATACATACATGTCCGCACATATTTCTTTTACAGAATTTAAATGAAGACATTCTTTGCTACTCATTCCTTTATAAAATCTGAGATTTTCCTTTATGGTCATTTCCTGATAATCCTTGAACTGACTACAACAATTATACAATTGTTCTAGAAAATCATCAGGAATAATTTCAAGAGGAAATAATGCCTTCTGAAACGAATTACATCCTATTTTCTTCCTCAATACTTCTAATATTGATAAAATATCATTCCTTCCTTTATAATTCAAACATACAACATAAACTTCCGAATTACCCGACTTACTGGTCGCAGGCTTAAACAAATTAACTTTCTGAAAAATGCAGTTTAGAAGATACATAATGCAAATTGCATCACATTCGTAAATAGTAAACATCTTCAATACAAAATTTCCTCCGTCCTTTAAAAGATGTAATGCAATTACCACTTCTGCAAAGTTCAGTGCAACGATGAGGTTTTCTTGCTCGGCAGGATTCTCCTGGCAGTCGATACTGCCATCGGCAGTTATCAGGTCTAGTAAATTTTCGGACTTTTTAAGATCGATTTCTAAAAACGCCATCAAATCGTATAAATAAACGGGATTTAAAATATTTCCCGTGTTATCGTTTCCGAAATGCCAATTCTTTAAAGTCTTAATGAGGAAACGATCGTCCATGATTGCAAACCCGAGGCAATTTCCTTCATAGTAAGGATTGAGCGTGTTGGCTTTCCATTTCCAATTAACTTTCCACTTCAGGCAAGAAACGTAATGATTGAGTGCGGTGACGAAAGCTCCGGGTGCCTCGCACAGATGAAAACTAGAGAAGTCCCGAACGCCACAGGGAACGAGAGGATAGGAAGAGAGAATCTCGTAAAACTTCAACCAGGCCTGAGTCAGGAGTTCCGGACCGATTTCGCACCTGACGGTATTCAGCACGAATCCGGCACGATTGGTGTAAGTGGTGTGTCGTCTCCATTGTTTGATTTCTTTGTCGTTCAACAAGTTTTTTGTTTCATTGAGTTCTTTCTTCAACTGTATAAATCTTTCCACTTTCCACTGTTCTGCCGTGAAAAACACTTCCAAATCTGGCAAAATTAATTCATTTATGGGTTTAAATTCGAATTTTTTCTCAAACAATTGTTGCGCTTCATTAATGGATAGATTTTCCATTATATACAATGTTAACTATATGGAAGTCATTTTATAATGAATTTAGGATAATAAATGGACTTGTAATTAAAAAAATCACCCGTAGAATTGATACATTCATCCAAATCATTCCTAAAAATTACTAAACGAAGGAAAAAATCAATATTTTACTACAAAAAAAGGTCAAGTTTAACATAGAAATGGATTTAACAAAAAGCATAACATTACAATCAACTTACCATCTTCGATTTACGCTTATGCGCAACCAGATGGCGCCGTTATTTCTGAAAATTTAAATATTGATTTATCGCTAATTTTACTCTCGTTTTTTAAATTTAAATGATAAAATTATCGAAATTTTTGAATTTTATGCATTTTTCCAGCGTAATATATTCCTATAGTTTTCATAAAATTATAAAAAAGTTAAAATAGATGGCGCTAAAAACAAAATGGCGGCCTTCAGCAGCATGCTCGCTGCTTCTCGTGTTTGTAGTGAGTATTGTCAAATTAGATATAAGATACATTAATTAAAGTGTAATAATTATATATTTTTTCGGTAATTTATAGGATATATTAGAAATATACGTCTGCCTAATGCTAGGAGCTCTACTTTGTCAGCTAAACCTGTTTTGGTTCAAGTATCTTCGCAAGATGAGTCACGTGGTAATGTTTTGATATGAAATAACTTTATAATGTTCTAGTATGTGTCAATTAGATACAAATGCAACTCTGAATGAGGATATAGAAAGTGCACATAAGATTAAAAAAGTCAAAGGAACCGATGTAAACCAGTGGTTTCTTTGACTTTTATACTTCTATGGTACTTACGTATTGTACAGCAGTGTAGCCAAAAGACCTTTTGCTAAGATCAAAGTGCGCGGTTGTGGTATCTGCAACGGATGGCCTACTGGTCACTTAGTGACTGGGAAGGTGTCTACTCCTTGCCTTTTGTCGTGCCAGTGCTTTTCTCCAGCTTGATCTTTGGGCCAAGCAATTATGGCTATTTTTTGGCTGTGCTCACTGCCACCACGGCACCTAGCGCTAGATCCGGGGACCGCCATTGACAAACGATGGCAGTCCACGGATCCAATGCCGGGCTAGCTCGGTGGTGGATCCTCAAACTTTCAAACATCGGTATATAGATATACCCCAGAAGTAGTTGGTGCAATAGTATTTCTTATATTTTATATAAGAAATTCTATTGCACCAACTACTTTTGCAATACTATTGCACCAACTATAAGCTTTTGGGCATCTGTAGTAAAGTGGAAAACAGCAGATTTTTTTGTGTTGTTTTGAGAAATAGTTCCAGATTTTTTTTACTCCTGTGGGCGTGGTCTATGACTCCCAGGCTCACCCTGGCTTTTTTATAGCAATGCCAACTCATTTGCCAAATACATTTTTTATTTGCCATAATAGAAAGTTATTTGCCATTACTTTTTCACTTACCGTAATGTTTTGTACCGACCTGAAATCAAAACATGATTGACAATGTAAAAAGATATTGAAAATTTTTATGACCGAGTTTCTCGAGCAAGCTTTATTTTTACAGTAAAATTGAATTGGACCAAGACTGATTCATGTTATGTGATGCTATTTTTTTCACAGTGTGACTTCTCCTGACTGCTCTCATTCAGAACTCCATTTGTACCAGTTACTTTATATTTATTAGTAAGATAATTTATTATTTCTCCAATGTATATTGGATGGATAAAAAAATAATTTTGTTTTTAAATCATCTATAACAAATTTAAATAGCTACTCACCACACCAACATACAAAAAACTTGCATACATGGAACCAATTTATGGTGTTGTAACATCAAAAAAACATTGAACGGCATTCATTAATCGAATTTCCGATCTAAAAAAAAATGTTAGAACCTGATGCAGAGCCCAGAAGGGGTTTGAAAATGTTTGTTTTTTCGATATTTTTCCGATGTTACCACACCGTAAATTGGTTCCGTGTATGCAAATTTTTTAAAACAAATTTATTATTTTTCTATAAACTATTTTGCAGTATCTTCAAAATACACAAAACTTGGCACTATTTAGATCAATAATTTATGCAACACTGTTTTGTACAGATACATGTACAGATTATCACTTAAAGATCATAAATGCCAATGATGCAAAGGAGAAAGGAGATACAAAATACATGGAAGCCTCTGTTAGACAAAACAGACTTCAAAAAAGTTATGAACAGGGTCAAATGTGAAATTAGATAAATATTGCTTTGTAAAGATACCAAAATATTTTTGGTATCTTTACAAAGCAATTTATTCATTTATTTTTCAATAAGCTGAAATACAAATACACTAAACAAAGTATTTATATTCGCACACTATCAAAATAAAACAATGAAAATTAATAGCATAATCAAATTCATGCAAACTTTATTAATAATTCTTTACTTTTTATAAGGATAGTTTCTGATCTAGTATATATTAGAATGATATTGGTATAATTTTTACAGGAGCTGTCCATAAATTACTTAACTCATGTGGGTGTGTATGCAGGATAATCGTGATGGTGTTTACAAAAATGTTATATTATTCCAATCTTTAAATCAATTAGTGTTTGATAAGTATGTAAGGATTAAGGTTGGGTAATAGAATGATTCATTTTCGTTTTTGAAGTGTTGCGTAGTAAACCATACTGTTTGTGACTGCTTTGTGCATTATGCATGTAATTAATAAAATAATGTTTGGTATCATGTACTGTATTTTATTCCTTAGTGCAATTAAGGGATTGATTAAGGATATACATTATATAATTTTGGGGATGGTTATATGCAACAGCATTATGGATTGTTACTGGGGAGTGGAATCATAGTTGAAAGGTATAAAAATAGTATTATGTATAACATATACATTTGATAAAATTGCCAGGACAATAATTGTAAAATTAATACATTTTAAGACTATATAATAGTGAGTCTTTCAATGTCCTTTCTCACTCCTCAAGAAAATAACAGTCTTATGGCTCAACAGTCAACCCGCCATAAGACTGTTGTTTCCCTGAGGTGTGAGAAATGCTGTCGAAAGACTTGCTATTGTATAGTCTTAAAAGTATTAAATTTTTAGTATTATGTAGTTTATGGATGATCTCACAATTTCAAAAAAAGTTTTTGCATTTATGCAAGTATTTTAAAAATTATGCAATTTATAAGAATCGTATTGATTTTTTATAGTAATAACAGTATAAATAAAACAACATATTTGTGCCAAAAATTACCTACACATTTTTATTTAAACAATTGTTTGCAATCAAAAGCACATGAGTTATCTGCCATGTAAATCTGCTACATGGTCATATAATCATACTGTATATCTTTCTAAAAAATGAAATATTCTATATAAATAATGCAGACAAAAACAAAACACAGAGTTATGGTTTTGTCTTTGATAGTCATAAAACTGCAATTACACTTTACTGAATACATGTTAAATATGCAAGGAAGCCTACCTCCTCTGGTATGAAAAACTAAAATTAAAAAAATCCAGCAATAAGTTGCATAACTTTCCTGGCAAAGAACATTATGATATATTAGCAACAAAATTAAAATTGTCTGTGGTTCCATCTGATATGAGATTTTGTTTAAAGATAACTTTTTTATTATTGATTATTATGAAATGTCAAAAAGCTTAATTTTGAGGATAGAAATGAATTTTATAAAACACTGTAAATGTCAATAACGAGTAAAATTTTCATTAAGTGTTACCCCACTTGAAATACAACACGACTCCTCCTATCTCCCCATCACCTTGACCTTTAATTACTAAAATTTAATAGTATCAATGCCCCTCACACACAAGTGCTCTTCTTGAGATATTAAATGAGATAAATGCCAACATGCGCATTTATCTCATGCACAAGTGCAGAATTTATTTATTTATTTTTTTCAGTTTTTTGTATTTTGGTTCAGAGGTCTCAAAAATATCTGAATGGTCAAATTTGACACAACTGCAGTACTTTTCTGTGTTATATACATAACAAGCCATGAAAGTAAAAAGAATATTGAAATTTCATACATTAAAAAAATACTTGACACTAATTGTTGTCAAGTATTTTTTAACATATAAAATTTCAATTAACAATTAATCATATGATTAAACAATTATACGATCCTAATTAATCATTCATTGTCAATCAACTAACTTGATAATCATCCCATACTTATATCTGGGTAAAGATTCAGTTCTTATAAGATCACAAATATTGCTCTGCGCCAAATTCACCTGGCAGATAATTTTACTTTTCAGCTGTAGCAAATGATTTTTCTGATTACTTACCCAATTGATGTTCTTTACAGAAGTCTTCATCTTTTAGTTTAACCAAACCACTTATACCTTTATTAGACATTGTTTTAATGGTTTTTGTACTGATATGTCAAAATTTTTCAATCTTGAGTTTAATTAATGCTCCAGTAGTGCTGTTATCATGTGTATTTCTTTTGACTCTTATCAGCTCTTCTTTTTCTATGGTCATATTGGATATGACCCAGTTTATTACAGTAATAACATTTAATAAATCTTTTACTCACCTGTCTTCCTTTTAACTTGTATTTTTCGTTGTTTGGTATTAAATATAATTGTTTATTTGATTCTATTCCTTCTGGCTTTTCAATCATTAGTCAAGCCATTAGGTTGCTCATTGCTTGTTGATAAGTAGGTTGCATTTGCCATGAGGTTTGAAAAGGTTTGGCAAAGATAAGATACCAATGGTCCCAGTGATTTAATCTTCTTCCTTAATATCAACATCAAGGTTAGCCAAATTGGCAGCTAATTGTTCCACTTGGCAAATATAGTTAATTCTGCTGGTTGAGTCACTTTTTAAGTTCATCTTTTGTGCAAGACTTCTAAATAATGATCAAATCTAATTAATCCCAATTTTTTTTTGCTTTCGTCAACCATATTATGTTCTTCACATAATAATTATCTAATGAATTTAAAATAATTAGTTGTACTCCAACATCCTTTTCTATGCCTTTCTGATGATCTGTCAATTCTGTTTTTTCTAATACATGAATTAACTGATTCAGTGAAAAATTTAAAACACAAGTTGTGAAAATATTTTTATAATGACTAGTAATTATTGATAAACTTTAAATAAACTACTGTCATAAAAGCTAAAATCCAGCCAAAATGATAAAAAACTCACATTAACAAACATTTTCCCCCACATTAAAAAACTTTTCTACCTTAGCAGATTATACTTCAATAAACATAAGCTTTTGGCCAATTTTAGTAGTGATTCTCAGATTATTTGTACAAAATTGAATGCTTTTAAATTATAATGGAACATAACAAATTGAATAAATAAATAAATAACAAAATATTTAAATCTACAATTTTTGCTACAATTGTTTAAAAATTATATAGAAATTCAAAATCATATTCTCTATATGACAATATAATAAACAAGCCATACAATACATAATCCAGGTATCAAATCAGGCAATGATATTCTATATCTTGGGGATTTTAACCCATGATCTCCATGTGCATGAGATACTTTTCTGTTCTCTATAATTTATAGATTTTTCCTTGCATACATAATTACAGTATATATTTTTAAGACTTTGATGTGTTGCTTCTGATAGGCTTGACAATTTTTGTTTCACTTTAAGGCTGCCTGGCTAAGTCATCTAAAGCAGTGTTTCTCAACCAGGGATCACAGAACATTTCAAAGGAGCCACAAGCCAAAAATCAAGTTTTGGGGAGCTATAATGAATTATTATGAACAGGCAAAAAGAACTATGCTATATAAAGAGAGTGGGAGAATAGTACACCTAATCTACTAGAAGTAACAGTAGCAAGAGTGACTAGAGGGTTGTTAATTACAATGGTTTTCTTAATAGTACATAGAAAGAGATTGAGTGAACCATAGATAGGAAGATATTCTACAGAAGGAACCAAATTGCAAATGACCGACCCTATTACAGTAAAGGGTCTACCTGGTTCTTGTCATTTCTAAGAAATTTGTAAACTGTAGGGTTCCTTCTGTTTACAAATATTACTAGATGATTAGACTACTATCATACTTTTTTCTGTCAATTGTATTATAACAATTTTCTTATACTTTGAATTCCAGTAATTATCGAGTTAACAACATACATAACATTTTAAGTTCCTTAATATATTTTTAATTCCATAGTAAATTTTCAACTAGAAATTTTAAATTTTTATTATTTTGAATAATAAACTTTCCTTTTGTGTATTTTTAGATCTAAAAATAATCTATCTATACTGAACAAAACATGTTAAACATTGTAAATGAAACTATATAATTTATTTAATATAACAATTGATGTTTTATATAATGATATATAATAAAAAAAAATGTAATTCTAATTAAGATTACATTTTAAATTATAAAAATATAGGATGGGAAAGAAAATTGCTTAATACCCCTGCTACAGAATATAGAATATACCCAAAGTTAATTCGCTCCTGTTGGGAACACATTAGACCAAGGAGGAAACATATTGATGCACGGCAGCCATATTGAATGCAACTATGAAACTGTAAATTGGAAGGGGTCATTTGACACATCATTTAGGGTCAGAATTTTACAAAGAATTGATTGGAAGAAAATTTTATCGACCTACCTCAAACCATTATAGAGTTATGCACGTTACATGGTGTGCTTAATGTATATTCTTTGGGTACATTCCATATTCTGTAGCGGCCCACCAGTAGCCAAGTGGTTCCATTCTCTGAACACTGTTGGTTTGGTTGTGGATTCACACCTTGCCAGAACAGTCTGGCCACATGGAGTTTTCTGGATTTTCTCCGTGTCTGTAACGCCTCAAGAGGGGCCAGTTACTCTTAAAAAGACCTGCCAGAAGGCATTCCCCCTAGGCAGATCACCCAAGTGTTATATTGCCGTAACTTAACTAAACAAACAAAACAAAATATTCTGTAGTAGAGGTGTTAAGTGATTTTCCCATCCAGTATTTCATAATTCACAAACCTCTTATTTTCTTTGACATTTTTTATCATGAATTCTCTTATGATGTAGAAGTTTGCTTATATTTTGGTTTATTTTAATACTCATTAAATATAGATTTAATTAGTTTTGGTTTGGTTTTAATTGTCTTTTAATGGCTGATAATTTAAGCAATAACAAATTCATGTGATATTTTTAGATTTAAAGTTTCTGATTTTTACTAGGCATTCTTTCATCAAAGCATTGTGAGAGAAATTGTAGAATGATATTCCTTTATAATCCTTTCTTCATATTATATGTACAGTACATACAAATGCACAACATGACATTGACATTTTTTTTTATTATTCACTTTGTTTGAAACAAGATGAATAACTAACTGTGGATAACAGCCACTTTGTATGCACAATATCATATGTTCCTTTACATCACATGACTAAGTCTCATTACAGTCAAGCTTTGATATATTTTCATCATTTGTTTGCAGTTGGCACTAAATTAAGTTTGGTGCTAAACCAAAATATCTCAAACAATATCATACAAGTTTGCACTTGGGAGATTGAAAGCCATGATCTGCTGGTAACAATTTCATTTGAAATGAAAAATTATACATTTAATAATTTACAGATACTGAGGGGTTCTCTGTTTATTAGTAATAGTAGTGTGCTGCCATCTACTGATATGTTTTAAACTTTTTACAGTATCTGAAAATTAAATTTTGTCTTTTACTTTAATATATGATTCAGTTCCCTAAAAAATTCTGTCATAAAAAATGTAAGGCATATTGCATTTTAATTATATTAATGATGTTTTAGTTAACTGCTTTTCTAATTTTATATTGCACATAATTGAGTTTGGTTTTTATTTGTTTTCATTTAATGTTTGAGTTTAATTTATCAAATGAATGCATACATAATAATCTTTTAATAATTTGCTTTCAATCAATTATCGCAGCTCTTAGTAATAACGGAAAAATCTGAAAATTTCATGGAAATTTCTGGCCTGTGTTATTGTTATACGCTTTTAATCAAAATAATTAATTGCTGCAATGGATGTGCACGTTAAAGTTAAATAATAAAATGTTATAGAAATAAATTATTTTGTAGTAATAGATTATCATTTTAAACTTTCTTTTATGAATTATGGTGTAAGAAGAGTATTCATTTGTAGGTTTGTCTTGGATAATGTGGAACCTTGGAAAATTAGCATTCTACCGAACTTAATTAGTGAATATACAGTAGAACCTCGATTATCCGGACTAATTGGGGATGAAGGTAGTCCGGATAAGGAAAAATCCGGATAATCGAAACAAATACTTTAATTTGTCTATTAATGATAATACAACACGTTTTCTTTTCGATGACATATCGGTAATATTAACAATAAATACTTTATTTAAATCGTGATCAAATTTTCAAGAAACAAACGTTCGTATTGAATTTGGTCTATTACTGACCAGCGCTAACAGACTAGCTATTGTTTAAAAGGCCTTCTGGTGGCTCAAGAAGACGGATTTTATAAAATAAAAAGCAGTTGAAACTGCATTTTTATGAATAAAAATTTGACAAACTATTTATCGTTTTATGACGAGTAAAATGTTTTCGTCGCGTTCTCGGCTTTTAAGTAATGCATAAACCTTCGAGGTGCGAGGCCCTTCGGACCGCGAGGCATAGGCGGTGGCTCACGTTGCCCATGCCTTACGCCGCCCTTGGTCATAGAAATGATGTGATTTGAATATAAATTATTTATAAATACGTATGTCAAGTTATATTTTTATTACAACCCAAAATATATTTAAGAGTTTACGACCACTGTGCAGGGTGAGACGTTGTTGAAACAAAAAAAGTTATGCATTCCGTCACGTACATAAACAGTGTCGTAATTCGCCAAGTGCAAATCAGCAAATTCGTAAAATTTTTGTTTATTTTGAACAATCCGGATAATCGAAAATCCGGATAATAGAGGTCCGGATAATCGAGGTTCTACTGTATTTCTTTTTTCCAGTGGACTATTATATGTAGAATACTGCTGAAGTGAATGTGTAATAAATATTTTGAATGAAAAAGACCAATGATATAGCTATGAGAGTTGTAATGTGTAATTAATACCTTTATTCAATTAATTGATTCATCTAACAGTACTTATCCTGGAATGGATTGAAATGGTTAATAAAAACACAATTATACTTTGATTTTGGCAATTAAAAATTTTGCAATTACTCCGTTTTTAAAATTTAGAAATGAAAACTGATTTTAAATGACATAACCCTTTATTATACAAGAATACTACTAATAAGTAAGCAAACAGGATAATAAATTAATCACACAAAGATCATATTAATCCAGCAAGTTAGAAAACTTCTGTTATAAATTTAATAATTACTATGAATATATAAATTAAATCTGTAAGAACTAACCTATATATTATGTTTACATTGTTAGATTTCTATTCTTTGATGCAATTTAAAAAGATTAATACACACTTAAAATGTGTGAGAGCTATGAGAACTAAGTGCAAAAAGTTCTTTTTTTGCACATAGTTCTCATAGTTACCAGGAAATGATCAAGTGCATATTGTAAACTGCTTATTAAAAGATCATAAATAGGTGATAATACACAATATACTATAATTATATACATAAAAAATATAATTAACTATATAATGGTGCTATCAAATTTATAAAGATGCAATAGACATATGATAGAGTTTTAACAGTTAAATTGAAAGCATAATGCTACATACAAAATACAATGTGGCCAAAAGGTTGCTTGCCAAGGGGGGAAAGAGAATAGGTTGCAAATTACAGATGGCAATGTAAATAACTTTGGTGACATTTAATGCAGTCTGTGTGACAGTCAGATTGAGTGAGTATGGCATGTTATACACTACAGTACTCATCAATGATAATGTTCAAAGTATTGTACACTCACTCAAATATGATGTTATCCATGATGCAGGACTTCAACTGTCACTGTTGCAAGAGTTGCATGCAGAATGTTATGAAGAATGGTATCAATTCTGTCCTTCAGCTCGTTGAGGAAGATGGGTGGTGTCTGGAAGACATTGTTTCACATAGGAATAAATCTATAGGAGAGGCCAAGATGATGGGTCATTGTGACAATCCAATGTACTGGAAACATTGCATTAGATTTCTGCCAAATGGGTAAGGCAGTGTGTGTTGTTGCACCATCTTGCTGGAACCAAAGTTCCTGTCATTGACTCAAAGGAAGATCATCCAGAAAATCCAGCATGTTCCCATATGTTTCTTGGTTTGTGCTACTTTCAAAGAAGTATGGATCAACAGTAATGTACCCAGAATGCCTGCCCATACCATAATTCTTGTAGAAAGTCCGTTTTCGGGCACACTGTATAAATGTTCATATTTTTAATTCACTTTTTTCAAAAATTTTTGTTCTTAACTGTCTCTTGTTAATTAAAGCAATGTAAATAGCAGTTTATATAAAATATTGTTTAAGATTTCTTGCACTGTATTTGCATATATAAAGATATTATATATACACACACATATATATGGAAATTCAGAATATAAATTATATTTTTACATTGATATTAATAATAATAATAATATTTTATTAAATGTAGGTAAGGAAACCATTGTTTTCAACCCTTTGGATCATCCAGATTTCTTCAATGTAAAAGCCATGATTAATATAAAAGAACTGTTTGATGCAAAAGTCCACCTAGGTCACAAAGAAGGAACGCTTAACGAACATATGAAGCCATATATTTTTGGATCCCGTTTGGGTCATTTAATAATTGATTTAGATCAAACTGTAGAACATTTACAGAAAGCTTTAAATTTTCTTTCTCACATCGTTTATCAGGACGGTTTGGTATTGTTTGTGACTCGCCACAGACAAGTAAGCATTTGTGATTTTTCCTCTATCTTTACAAATATATATTCTATTTAATAATTATTTATTTTTGAATTTTAGACTGCTTATTTAGTGGAGAAGACTGCAATGGAATGCAACGAATTTTCGTACACTAAAAATTGGTATGAAGGAGTGTTTACAAATTCCACTAAGATGTTTTCAAACGTCACCAGGTTACCGGACGTGGTCGTGTTTTTAAACACATTAAACAACGTATTAGAGACCCACACGTGCGTGCACGAATGTGCCAAAATGCTGATACCTAGCATAGGCATTGTGGACACCAACTGTTCTCCAAATCTGATAACCTATCCTATTCCGGGAAATGATGACACCCCTTCTGCTGTTGAATTATACTGTAAACTTTTTAAAATGACTATTTTGAATGCAAAACAGAAAAAGAGAGAGATAATGGAAAAGTTTAAAACTAATGCAGAATAAAAATGTGTATGTTTTGTAAATAAATTTTTAATTTGTAGATAGTGAAATTAAATGCTTCTTTTATCTTCATTTTAATGATTTACTCATTAAGGAATTAAACACATTAAGAATATTAACACTTCAATTATACTATCCAGAAAAGAAATAATCATAAACATATTGTTAATTACAAAAGGATTTTATAATTATTTTACATATTTTCAGCTGACTATTTACACACACACAGGGTTCTAAAAGTAGGTGTACAGTTGTTATTATTAAAGAATATAGAAGAATAAACATTTATTTTTATACATAAATTAAATCAGGAATAATAGATAATAATAATGAACACCATTTAACATCAGTATTTGTCAGATTTACAATTGTATATCTACTTTTGCAAGCCCTTGTATATGTCTTAATAAAATACACCTATCTAATACTTATAAACATATGTTTAAAATATTTTAATACTTAACTATGTATATAGCCTAATAATTTGTTGATAAAACAATTTTTCAATTACAGTATTGTTTTATTTATTAACATTATTACGAAGTAAATATTTTTTAATGGGAAAAAACTAATGCCAGTTAGTCTTTTTATCAATAGAGGGCAGTATATTTTAAACCAAAGCAAATTGCAGTATTTATGAAAATTATAAATTGTAATTTAAAAAGTATTTAATATTCATTAAAAATCTTAAATAATATTTAGAGTTGTACAGTATATTAGATTCTCAAGCGCTTTGTTACAATAAGTGCATGAAAATGATACATTTCTTGAATTTAAATATAGCAGCAAAAGACTAGTTAAGTCACAAATTAAGCCAATCACTGACAAAAAACTTTTTCTATTTGAGAAAGATGATTAATGCCAATTGTACGTTGTAATTTGGTACAGTGTAAGAGCATATATATTTAAAAATGCTCAATTTGTGTTCTGTATTCTTGTCTAAATCATTTCTGAGTGAGATTTGATTAATAAAGAGTCAATTTTCCAAAATAAACTTTTTCTTTTAAGGCTAAAGCATGTACACATGCTTCAATTATGTTACATTATACAAGGTGGCTGAAGTAAGTGAACTATTGCAAAGACTGACTAAAAAAAATTAATTCAATTGTATTTTTTATATATATGCGCTTTGT